AAAAAAAACACGCACAAACAAAACAAAGACTAAGAAAGAACCATCTGGAATCCTTCAAAAGAACACACTTAAAAGTGGTCGTGGCGGCGGCGGAGAAGGAAAAGGGGTGAAAATATCTCTAAAAGCGTCCTGGATTGGACAAACAATAAGCTAGAGATGAAGAAGAGGGCGGGGGGAACGGGAAATAACCCCCCCTCCCCTGTTGAGTATTATAGAGGTCAAGAATTAAAAAGCTGCAGCTGTTTTTTACACACGGGAAGGCAGGGCAAGGGGTCTGCAAAAGGCATTAATACTGAGATATGAACATAAGTCTATATTACAACGAGAGATTATTCACAAAAGTCTAGGTACCCTCTGGAAATATCCAACTTTCTCTGAATTGGGGGGGGGGGCTCTCCCCCTCCCCCCTCCATCCTTTCAAAGGTTAAAATCACAGTTTCATTCTCTCCCCTCCCCTGGTTAGGCTGGGCACGACACACAAGGGCAGAGTAAAGCCAGCAAAGGCCTGCATCTACGTTTGCTACCGGGTATAAGTTAGAGGTTTGTTTGCGGTGGGGAAATAATAATTAGAAAGGTTTTCAGGCGGAGATGCTCGGCGTAAGGGAGGCAGCGAATCGAAGGCCCCAAATTGGTTTCCCGTGGCAAAGCTGCCCCTCCAACCTCCCCAACGTTTCCCTGCTCCCACATTTGTACGGTTTCGCCACACGGGGAGGGGCGAAAGGATGTCAGGAATGAAGAAAGGTTCCCCGTTGGGCCAATGGAGTGAATCTTGCAAGAGAAGCAGCGGGTGAGCTCCTGGATGTGCCTGGACTCAGGCAGAGGGACACTGGGCGACCTCCTTTCTAAAATAAAAATTTTTTAGAAAAAAGAAAAGACAAGACAAGAATGAAAAAAGAAGAGATGTGCAAATCCCCGAGGGCCCTAATTGGTACGAGATTGACTTTGGGTGGAAGCTTTGAATTGCCTCTGCTCACTCCCAAAGCAACCGAGACCACTTCTTGAAAGAGAGGGGAGTGAGGGAAGAGATTGAAATTGTTTATGTAGTCATTCCTTTATCCAAGGGGGGGGGGGGGGGGGGGGTGTCAAGGAGAGAGGTTGCTTCAGTTGGTCTTCATAAGACCCCTACCTTATTTCACACCTAAGACCGCAGTGCGCAGGAGGGAGACAGAAAGGCTAAGAGAGAAAATGGGGTGTGACGATGCATCCGTGTGTGTAGAAGGAGTGGCAGAACCGGGGGGGGGGGGGTGGAGTGAAAAGAGGCATCAGCCTAGAATCCCCATGTACTAAGTCCAACCTCCCTTGAATTCCGTTGACCCTTATCTAACTCCTAGCAAGTGCTGAGAAGATTCCTGTGCACAGGCTTTTAGCAATGGAGTAGCTTAACTGAACCTTCCCGCGCGAACCTGGTCTTTCGCGAACCTGACAATGTGCAAAGAGGGCTAAGGGAAGCCACCGAGAGAGATCCCTGCAGTCAATTTGGTCTAGAAAAAGTGACCCTTTCAACACCAAGCTCACACTGAAAGCAAGCAAAGCCTTAACTGGAACATCCCAAATGATGCAACGTTAAGGTGAGTTAAGCTTCACAAGATTTGGATGTCCCCGAGTTGAGAAGCAAACCGAGGGAAATTCCAGATGAGGAAGATGGATTTGGCGGGCAGGGGGCAGGTAGGTATAGAGGGAGAGGTTCTTATTTCACAAGATGGTTGTGAGGAGTGATGGACGAGCATATCCTGAGGGTGAGAGCAATCCAAGCAACGCAACACCTGGAAGGCTCAAAGTTGAGAGTCTTGGATAGCCCCAGAGGACAACTAAGATACAGTCCACATGGCTAAGTCTGTGTGTTGTCTCTCTGAGGTGTGAGGTCCATTGTTCTGTCCCAGAAACCAAAATATATTGGGTCGGCGCCATCTAACGTGGGTCACCGGTTATCTCCCCTCTTCTGCTACCTCTGGACAATGTCGCTGATTTCTTTGACTGAGCCGAGCAACTTGCTAAAATCTGGGGTGGCGGCTGGACCTCCACCAACCGTGGCAGGGCAGATTTGAAGCTCTCGGAGGCTGTTCTCCAGTTTATTGATGGCCTCTCGGAAAGCAAACTTATTCCGCATCTGCTGGATCGAGTCCACGTAGCTGACACAGAAGGTGTACAGGTTCTTGCCCGCTTCCAGGACGGCGCTGTGGCTGACCATCTGCTCCGAGTTCTTGTTGATGGCGGTCCGCAGGGTATCAGAGCTCTCCAGGACGGTCCCTTTGGTGACGGTGCCGCTCGCTATCTTCTCGGGAGGTTGGCGGGTCTTCCTCAGGGACACCCGGGTGGAAATGAGGGGGATGAAGGCCGTGGATAGAGGTTGGTCTGCCGCCAGAGCTGACGAGACGGTGGGGGGCGACGGAGAAGGGGAACTGAAGAGCAATTTGGCGGACGAGGGAGACTTTGGTACGGAGGTCATCAGTGGCTTTTTGCTTCCCTCGCTGGATTTGAGAGTCTCAGTATTTACGGGCTCCGCAGCCATTGCTGCCTGCTTGCTCTTGACCAGGGGCCCTTCTGGTCCTTCATGGCTGGGCCCGAGACCCCCCTTGCTATTTTTGGCTAAGTTCAAGACTGGAGGTGGCGGGGCAGGTTTGAGCTTTGAGAGCTTCCCTTTGTCCTTCTCTAGAGCTGGCTTCATCTTTCGTAGACGGGACTCCTCGCCCAGGACTTTGCCAGCAAAGATGCCCAGGCTGGCTTTGCCTCCTGGGGCCTGCTCCACCAATGGAGCCCCACAAGCAGAAGGAAGCAAAGGTTGCCTCTGGGTGAGTTTAGGGGTGAGGGTGGGCGGGCTGGACCCCGCGGTACACTCGGTCTCTTTGGAAGTCTCTTCCAGCATCTCCTCATTCTTCTTCAGCAGCCGAGGACCTGAGGTGACCATCCCCCTGCTGACCAGATCAGCCTTTGCCTCACTGGCTCGCTTCCGAGGCAGGGCGGGCTTTTCGCTCTTGTGGCCCCCGAAGGTGGACGAGTCAAACTGGTGCCCCATAGACTGAGGGTTCCGAGGGAGGGTGACCGACTTCCACTCGGTGTCCCTGGCCCCGTGGGGAACGCAAGAGGCCGAGCAAGAACGCAGGAAACGCTTGCTGGAGATCGAACCGCCATCCTCTTCATTAGGACCCGGGCGATTACTGGCTGAGGACCCCGATTTTTTCCAAACGTTCGGCGTCAACAAACCGGAAGTCCCAGTCCCGTTGGCGACTCCGGCGGCCTCGTTGCTGGGGTTGGGGAACCTGGAACGGTCCTCTAAATCAGCAGGATGTGTGAGCAAACCCCCATTGTTGCTCTCTTTGGTTTCGTCCTCCCCTCCTCCTCCTTTATGCTCCAGGTGGCCCTCCGCTTCCCGGAACGAACTACTCCGCTTCGGAGGGGTGGGCGCCGTTTTCTTTTTCTTCTTGATCAGAGCACTAAAAAGATTGGTCTTTTTGTCTTTGGGGATCAAACGGTCGTCTTCGTTTAAGCTCCCCTCGGCTGCAGTCCTTTCCTTCCGTGGCAGTACAGGGGACACAGCTGGCTCGTGCTGCGTAGATTCTGCCAAAAAAAAAGATAGATATTGACACGAGATGTGAAACAGACAGGGAAGGGGTATCAAATGGGGAATTAATCTTGAATCGTGATGGAGTCACAAAAGATCCAGAACTGACCCTCTCTAAGTTCCATGGAACCTGATCTATCGATTCCCAGGGAGAATTTCAAGCAGCTTGGGAAGGTTGCTGCACAGGTTGTCCTCAATGTATGACCCCCATCGAGCCCAGAACTTCCATCGCTAAAGCGAGACGGTTGCAAAGTGAGTTTTGCTCCATTTTGTGACCTTCCTCGTCACGGTGCTTAACTGAATCACTTCAGCTGCTAAGTTAGTGACTTGGCCGTTAAGTGAATCTGGCTTCCCCATTAACTTTGCTGGTGTTCTGACCCAAACCCTTTTCCAATAAAACAAACATGAACCAAAGGGAAGAGAAACCTTTTAATGATTCTTACGAATCCCCAGTTAAAAGGCTGCTGCAAATTAATTAACTTTGATAAGCACGAGCCTTGCCAAAAGTGTGCGAGGCTGCCAAGAATCACAGATAAGAAATATTTCACAACAGAAGAGTCTTCAAATACCAACTTAAGATACTGTAATGTCCACGAGGCTGAGTTTCAAAACGTCTTTGCTTCCTGCAAAGAACGTCCAATTCACAGCTGGCTTTTATCTCCTTGAAGGAGGGGCCATTACCTTACTCCTGAGTCACCTGTGCTGCTGCAGCTGCTCTTTCCTGCAAGCAGCCCTGCGTGCACACGCACTTACCACAGGCTCATCGCCGCTGCCAGCCCCCACAATCTCTGAAGGCAGCAGTCCACCCCCCATCCCCCAATGGTCCTGGCTCCTCATCTGAGTCTCCACAGCTGTCCGCACCTGCTGCCGGCTAACCACAACAGCTGGTCAGAAGGTTGCAAAAGATGACCACATGACCCCCTGGGACACTGCAACCGTCATAAATACGAGTCCGCTGCCAAACATATGAAATTTTATCACATGACCATAATTGCAATCGTTGTTAATGGCCCTAAGTCTTTTTTTTTTCCAGCATTGTTGTAACTTTGGTCATTAAATGAATGATTGTAAGTCAAGGCCTCCCTGTATTAAAGGGAAAATACACTAAAGTAGTGAGCTTGAATCCTGCAGCTGTGGATCTGATCGCTTGCACCTAATACAACACTCTTAAGTGTGGACTTCAACTCCCACAATCCCCCAGCTGTCATGGTACTATGTGGGTTGCCCACCCTTACGATAGTACCCAGTTATGGTAAAGAAGAATTAAACTTACCAGTTTCTGCTGGGATTTTGGCAGGCGTCACCTCTGAGCTCTCGACTTCCTTCCATTCCGCCATTTTTCGAGACGACCTGGTTTTCGTGGGCAGCTCCGGAGCTTGCAAAAATGGGTTGGCCGTGCTTTTCACCATTTTCTTCCCCAGTTCCTTTTCCACTTCTGGAAAGGAAAGGAAGAGACCAAAGAGAAAAATCAGGGGAAAGACCAGGATTCTCTTAACGACTGTTGTTGCCAACTTGCAGCGATTCATTTAACAACGGTGGCACGGAACGGGGAAAACTCACTGAACGGCTGTTTCGTTTAACCATGGAAATCGTGGGCCCAGTCAGGGCTGTAAGGCCAGGGCGGCCTGTAATGTGATTTTTCTCAAGACGGAAAGACAACCCAGCAAGCCAAATATTAGCAGCCGAGAGAGGATTTCAGATAGAGGATTTCTTCCCAGGTTTGTTTAGCTTATAAGTGGAGATGTTGGGATACTTGTTCTGGCCCTTTCTGCACTCAGAATAAACACTCAATTAATGTCGTGGCATCTCCACCCACGCATGCAGCTCTTCTGCTCCGTGGTGGCTTTTTTCCCCCTCCTTAAGGAGGGGAGAGAGCTGGCTGTCTCGGCTGAAAAAAAGACAGAAAGAGAGGGGAGGGAGGGAGGGAAGGAAGGAAGGAAGCAACTAGGACGGAAGGAAGGAAGGAAGGAAGGAAGGAAGGAAGGAAGGAAGGAAGGAAGGAAGGAAGGAAGGAATCTACTCAGAAGGAAGGAGGGAGGGAGGGAAGGAAGGAGTCTACTATAAGGGAGAGAGGGAAGGAGGAAGTTAGGAAGGAAGGTGGGAAGGAAGCAGGGAGAAAGAAAGAGAAAGAAAGAAAGAAAGAAAGGAAGGAAGGAAGGAAGGAAGGAAGGAAGGAAGGAAGGAAG